TCTCTCCTGGCTGTCTCAAAATTCTCTAGTTTACGTTTGAGCCTTGCCTGCTCGCAGCAGTTCGTGTGCTCGATGCTCAGTTTCTTTTTCATGATGTGCGGGGGAAAGGATGCGTTGGAACAAAGGTAGGACCTGCTCCGCGAGTAGTTTGATGCGGCGCATTGAGCGTGAAGCTCTTCAGTTGNTTGGAACAAAGGTAGGACCTGCTCCGCGAGTAGTTTGATGCGGCGCATTGAGCGTGAAGCTCTTCAGTTGCCCTGTTTAGTACAAAAGAGAACTCTTCCTTCCAGTGAGCCCCCTTCTGTTGCTCCTCGGGTGTTAGCACTGGGCAGAGTCGGGCAAAACGGCGGCCTTTGAATTTCCTTCGCTGTGGAGTGCATGCATTTCTCCATCGTTTCCTGCAGCGTCTGTGCACTACGTGTAGTGAATACTCACCACACTCACGGCAACAATGCCGTGCTCGTTGTGAAATAAGTGGGGATTGAATTAACAGTGGAAGTGTTTGTGAGTGTTTATTGATCTGCATTGAGTAATAACATTGGTGAATCCATTAAATATTGTTTAAGAAGTGACACTGGTATGACTATAAAAGAGTCTCGCAGGAACCTTGGTGCAAAAGGTGTTGCAACATACTACGCCGTCTCCTCTCCCAGCCCCACAGGCCGCAGTGCCGGCTCTAGTGGGGTTGCAGAACAGAACAGTTTTGGAGAAGAGACTGAGGAAAGTAATTTCCTTAAACCTCTTTTACTTTGTTATGTTGCTGTCAGTATGATAGCTAATGCCAGCCAGCTCGCTGTACTCAGCTGTGGGGTTCTATAGATGCGCCCCAGAGTAGTCCTTCAGAGATACAACCTAATAATAACTTCAAATGTTTATACTAGAGAGAAATACTCTACGTCATCTTGAACAAATCTTAGCATAGCATATGAGGGATTGAAGGCTCTCCCCACACCTCATCAGCTTAGTGGGCCCGCAGTACCTCTAATGTTATGGATTTGCACCAGCCCATCGTGTGAGGGATCTTGGATCCCTAGTAGGTCTCACAATTGTGTTTTTCATCTGCGTTTCTGTTGTCGTTGGAGGCACAAGACGCAGAGCTGCTGACAGTGGTTGGTACATCTACTGACGTGAGTGGGATCAAGTCCCAAGAGCCAGATGATCTCTAAGGCCCGAAACTCCCCTTAGACTGGCCCTTCTGAAGGGGAGTTTCGCTGGCTACGTAGGAGCGTCCGCGTTCCTCTTTGCTTGGGACAGCGCTTCAATTCTTCTTACCAAAGATGATGTAAATGAAATTGGAATCGTTGAGAGGTGCGAACACTTAGTGATTCACCGCGCGTAGACCCTAAAATGTGCCGCGGGGAAGCGCATGCGTAGCATCCACTAAATCACTGACGGCGGTGAACTGGTTCAACGTAGAAGCCCCGTACCATCTTACCATGCTTTATTCCGAACCACATTTTATGCCCGGACTTTTGCCANCAACGTAGAAGCCCCGTACCATCTTACCATGCTTTATTCCGAACCACATTTTATGCCCGGACTTTTGCCAATTCTCGTGCTTTGCGTGCCATCCGTGAAGCGTAGTTTCTGAGACTACGTTTCACAAATGGCGGCAAGGAGATGCAACCTCGTTGTCTGCTAGTTGACACAGTCTCTATCACCGTGTCGTGGCCTCCGTTATCAGATCCTCCTTGTGTCCTGTATAAGGTAGCGCTAGCAACTCCAGAGGATTAATATGAACTGCATGAGCGCAAATTTTAATCGAGGAGAATATGAGGGTGCGGCTGTCATTTTTCTGCCCGACAACTCCGCTGCAAGCTATATGGTTGCCCCGGCGTTTCCCTGAACATTTCGCTTGCTCCCCTGGCGGCGCTGCTCGAAGTCTAGCTTATCTAGTTCCACGACTTTCTCCATTCACCTGCAGTCTCGACTTATGTGGACGTGTTGATTGAAAAGAAGAATACGCTGTCTCCCACATGTTTCCGGATTTATGGGGGCCGAATTCGCTGGTTGCTGTCGGTCGCGGAGTTTTGATANTGTCTCCCACATGTTTCCGGATTTATGGGGGCCGAATTCGCTGGTTGCTGTCGGTCGCGGAGTTTTGATAGTGAATTTAGAAAAATGTGTTCGGCTTCTTCCTTTCTTCAAATATTCCTTCTTCAAAGCGTTCCTAGCTATAGAATGGAACAACATTGAACGAAGAAAATCATGTTGAGTTGTTGGGCGCTGCTCAAGTACATGAACATATACTCAATCCCCTCACCGCCCTTCCGCATTTGCACCCCACATCAAAGTTCCATGCTATGCAGAACAATTCAAAGGGCTTTCACGACGCAGCGAGAGCAGGCGGTGATCTTCAAGACTTGCAGCAGCAAAACCCTAGCAAGCCTAAAACTACACAGTTCTCACGTATTATTGTGACTCTTCCTGGAACAAATTTATGATTTGTGACGGCGGAGAAACGAATGGTGATGAGGAAGCAAGACTACAAAATGGGAAGGATGAAACCGATCCTTATTGTAGTTATGGGCTAGCTCGAGCTCCACAAGCNCAAGACTACAAAATGGGAAGGATGAAACCGATCCTTATTGTAGTTATGGGCTAGCTCGAGCTCCACAAGCGTACAACAGCACAAAGTTTTAGCAAATAAACTCGGAAATAAACGCATACACGAAAAAAAGGGACGATAGTCCAAAATACGAGGTAGCTGCAGATTGCGATTTCCCACATGAAGCAGAATGCTCTAAAACGCGCAACCGTTCAGCGACCAGATCTTTTTGTTCAGTCGGGAAAGCCTACCTGGGGTAAGAATATAAAGTGAGCAGTTAAGCTGTAGACTCTATTTTGGGCTGTTTGAACCTGTGCACACCTTACCAGATATGCATTCGCCCGGCTTGAATTTATATGGGAGCGTATTCTTGTATGCGTATGACCTTTATCATCAAGCTGTTTCTTGTAGCGCGACCGGTAGGTGCGTGACCACACGCACAGACTGGTCTACCGGGTTTTCCTACCGGTGTGTTCAGGGAAAGGTAGTACCGTGTTCTACTTTGCAAGGGACAGCTGTAGACACACTATGCAGCAATGCAGGATCTTCGTGGAACTCCAGCGCAATGCGCAGATAGTTGTTTCGCTGACACTTCGGCCTAGGTTAGAACATACACTACACAAATAGACAACAGTAGTCCATTGGCCTTGCGTGAAGCTATGAAAGATGAGGGCTGTAAAGGAGTAGTCAGTGCGTACTGTTGGTATGAAGCTATCTGTTTCGGCTTGCTTTATGAATGATCCAGCCTTCTTGGCTCATCGAGCCTACTCTGCCCCCTAATAAGTCCGTCTGCGAAACCTGTGCCAAGCTGCGACACATATGGGACTTCCGGCCCTGTTCTATGTCACAGGCCGTCCAATGCCTCACATAATCTGTAAAGGTCGTCCTTTAGAGCTTCATACTACATCCTCCATTTATTGGTAGTTGTATACATACATATTCATCCACGCTCATACCGATGTATGCAAGTGCATGTGTGTACTTCCTGTCCAAACATATTGGCAAAAAATTGTAGTGCTCTCTCAATTTGGTAGTCATAAACGTCCCCGGCTAGGTTCTTNCAAACATATTGGCAAAAAATTGTAGTGCTCTCTCAATTTGGTAGTCATAAACGTCCCCGGCTAGGTTCTTGAGCAAGAACCGTGGGGAAATCAGTTTCTTGTCTGGTGGTTCGCTGAACCAGACGGAAGCAGTGTTTGTGTACGAACCTACCCGGAATTGTCATGCCGCGAGTTACGAATAGGAGTGCTTTCACGAATTGGCTGGTAGCCAAGATGCCAATTAAACGAAAAAGTTGGGTGACCGAACTGTAAAGCCTCCTGAAAGGCGCCTCGGTAGCTACCAACGAGAATCGCTTCATCCGGAAGATATCTTCTGTCGTCTCGTCCCGTTAACAAGCGAATAATGCTTAGGAGTGAATTACACTCCATGCGTTCCACCGACAAAAATGCCAGCTCAACATGATAAACATGGAAATCATATCGGTATGGGCAAACAATATTGGCAAACAAAGCAACATCAGCAAGCAAGCATGTACAAAAGGAAAGCCCAATGAGCGCGGCATAGTCGAATACATCCATCATTTAACTGCGTAGCGATTAAACCCACAGCACCACACGGCCAGACAAATTTCCAACAGTGTTCATTGTACTGCAAAATGTACTTGAACAACATCCGGGCGTATTGCGCTGCTGCTTGAGAGCAGCCAACATTGGAGATGGAGGCAGTCAAAAAAAGTACCCATTCTCACAAACCCACAGCATCCAGATACTGCTGTTGAGGCTGTCGTTGCTCCTCCTCCTCTAGCTGCTGCTGCGGATTCAAAAAAACTCATCAACGGTTGTTTATCCTCATGAGGGAAGCGCTGAGACAGATGCGCGATGGCTCACAGTACCAGCGGTTAAAAGCGGACGCTTACATACACATGGAGGACCCCACGCTGAACTTTGGTCTCTACTTCTGTCCCGATCTCTCTCCTCTCAGCCATTGTCTGAATCGCGAAACAACCCCTACACCCGTTGTGTCCTCTTGCTTTTCTCGCCCCGCCTGCTTCTGTTTTTGCTGGTGCTGCTGCTCGAACTCGGCAACGAGGTGCTTCGCTCGCTCTAGCGCCGTTTCAAGCTCTTCAAATTGAGGTGAAGGATCTGCAAGGCGATAAATACGGGCCAAGGCTTCATCCCCCTCATCTGCCCGCGAGCTGAGGTGCTCTGCAGCATCATCATCTGCATGTAATTTGAAGGACTCAATTGCTTCCTTCAGCTCCGCTTCCCACGCTGAAGCTAGAGTGTCTGCTGCCTGCACGAGTTGTGTCTGTGCAGCATCCATGGCGAGCCTCAGCCCAACGCAATTGTTCGCGAGGAATGGGGCCACTGGCCTGAAGGCAGTGAATGCCATCATACTTTTGTACAGGGTTTTCGCGTCGTTCAACGCACACCGACATTGTCGCATATCGCTTTCCAGAAGTTCATTGATCCCAGTATGGCCGCTGGCTGTG